AGGGATTTACCTTTCAAACAAAGCAGATGTTGAGATCTGTGAGTCCACCAACACATCCGAAACCCAAACAAGATAAAAAATATGTTGGGCAACTGATTGGAGGAGAGAAGTGGACGAGATATGAGTGAAACAAATAACCAGGCACATTCTGATGGAAAAATGTGTTACAGTGACGAGTGAAATACCAGTAATATTCTCATCTCTTTACCTCTGGAACAGAGAGTGATTGATTCACTTGATGTCACTTCACATTATCACACATATCTTAATTTCTGAACTGTTTTGTTTTCTTTTAGTGCTGCACAACTAAATGTTCATGCAGCTCTGCCTGCTCTGCTCGAGCTGCGGTGGAATATTTGCACTTGATTAATCCTGACTTAAAACAAAAGACAAAGTGAAGCTGGGAGAAGTTACACTACTTATCCAAATAGTTCTCTAAAATCTAAAATAATATGTCAGGTTCACATCAGGCTGGAGAGCCTCTAATTAAAGTTTATCAATCAGGTTGAAGTCTGCGGATTCAGTCTGGTCAGGATGGAGCCTTTAGGTCCAATCTGAACTTTAGTGCAGATTTCCAGATGTCTGTGTTCAGACCTCAGCAGATAAGCACTCATAATTTAAGTTAGATATGTTCAGCTGCCTGATTAATGTGTGATGGAATTGTCTGTTCAATTTGTTTAATATTAATTAAACTGCATAGAAATGAAATACAAAGAATAGCCTATATCAATATCACATGTATTGATAGAGGATATTTTTGGTGCCGTCAGTCAAAATGACGGACAAGAAAAGAGTCTAGTTTGATCTCTGATTGCCTTCCATAGCTGCACTGCTGCAGTAGAACAATTCAGTGAACTAAATGAAACCTGGAGATGTTGCTATTATTAACTTAGTGCAGTGCACCACAGCGGAGGGAAAAATCATGCAGAAAAACTGAAGAACTCAAAACCACTCTTTTTTTTCTCACTCTCTTGGTAGGCTACACTACAAACAGATTTGTTACCATAGCAACTAACTGACAACAGCTACACTAAAAACACATAAACTTTCCTCTGTGGGCAGTGAATTTCTGTCTCTGGGCAGAGTTGATCTCATCTGGAGTCAGACCTTTATTCTGATTTTACATAGAATCCTCAGCAATGTCAAAATGACCTCATCTCCTACAGTCCAAATGCTAATGACATTTTAATATCCGTGTTGGTTATACGACTCAAGAGGAAAGAGACTGGAGTCAGCAGTTGTCGAGTACTCAATATTTTTCTTTACTTTTATCTTCTGTTTCATACCTTACAGTTCAGTTCCATTCAGTTCAGCACAACACATTTGTCAAAACAACAAGAGGAAACAAAAAAACTCCCCCTCATCTCAACCACCTGGTTTTTAAAGGATGGGCTCCCATTCGGACTAATTAGAGGGGTGGAGTCATTTTCAGCTACAAACAAACATGTGCACTAAACTATACCTAGAAAGTGTCTATCAAGTTACCATTAACTCAAACACAACTAAAAACAAAACTAGAAACAAACAATCTGGAATCCAGTCAAAATAGAAATGCATCTCTCCCTCTCTGAAAATGGATTTTCCCAATGAGGCTGATTGGAAACACCAGGTCCTTGTCAGCGCTGCTCATGGGCGCGCTTCCACGGCAACACAGGACCAGGTGACCTCAAAGAGATGAGAAAGATGATTAAAACAAATCAAACCACCTCCCAAAACAATACATTCACCCAAATAACCCAGAATATATAAAGAACATGCAAAACAGCACCTCTTAGGGAGGGGGTAAATCCCTCACAATCCTATTATTATTATACCAGCATTATGTGTTTTTTATTTCTTTACCATACAAAAACCAATAAAGCTTTACCAGAGAAGACAAGAAAAACACCAGGAAGTGTGAGGACGCCTGAAGCGCTGGCAGCCTTGCTCTCAGTCATGCCTCCTGTTTATTATGGAAATGAAAGTAGGTGCTGACGGGTGAGAGGCTTCACTGCTTTGAGATCATGCACCATTCATCTGCATTAGGACCACTTATTATAAAGGCGGCAATTTGTTTTCCCAGGCACATTTTGCTGTGAGGCTGAATATTGTAAGAGGGGAGAGAAAGAAAGGAAAGGAAGGTAGAGAGAATTGATTTTGGAGGATAAATGAAGCAAAGGCTGGATAATATTTATCTCCACTAGACTGAAAAAAAAAAAAAAAAAACAGAAACAGAGGGAAGCTTAATTAAACATTTCCAATGTCTCATTTTGGCTGTTGTCCACTCACTGTGTGCCCTTTTTTTCTTTTTCATTCTTCACTCTGGCAGGATTTTGAAAGAACAAATGAAAAGGACAGCAGTCAATCAGACAGAAAAACACACAATTGCTCCAAACAGTTTTAGTAGCAGTAGACTGAAGCCCAGAGACCAGACTGTTGCACACCCAAAAGTCCATTTCACTGCTACACTGAAACAAAGGCAGCTCTAAACAGCTGGCTTTGTAGCCTTCACTTAAAGGTACTCAGTGTTTCAGCTGTTTTGCAGTTTTAAAAAAGATTGTTCCAGATTTGTGGTGCATAGAAGCTGAATGCTGCTTCTCCATGTTTGATTCTGGTTCTGGATGCAGAGCAGAACCAGAACCAGGAGACCTGAGAGGACTGAAAGTTGATTCAGCAGCAGATCTTTAATCCATTCAGTGATTCATAAACTACCAGCAGTAGTTTAAAGTCTCCTCTGTCAGTGAAGGACTGTAGAGCTGGGTGATGTGCTCTGGGCTCCTGTGTTCCTCCAGCAGCAGCGTTCTGGATCAGCTTTAGCTGGTCCATTGAGTTGTTTGTCAGACCTATGAAGAAGCGGCTGTAGTAATCTATGCCACTAAAGATAAATGCCTGGATG